TAGATTAAGTTCGTAAGTAGAGGTACCACTGTATACTGAATGGAGAACACAGCATAACACCCATTTAAAAAGCTGGTTACAAGAGCTTCTATAACTGCAATTTTTTTTCAAAAACAAGTTCCATTGTCATTGATGGTAATTTTTTCCTAATAGGTATGATTAGGGAATGCAATGCGAATGTGAGAACTTATTCAGTGTTGATTTCCTGAAAAAGATCTCACATTTTGAAGTACTTTGCTAAGAATGAAGTTGCCCTTTAGGGATTTCACCCTTGCAAGAAGTTGATACACTGTTAATTGTGTTCATTGTCTCGTTGTTTCCTTGTTATGTTCTGTGTCGTTTCAGTTGCTCAGACTTCCTTAGTTGTGGAGTCCTTGGTGCTCTCTGAGCTTGGTTGTTTGCTTGCAGGCATTTTGTTACCTAACTAGGTAACATCATCGCTGATGTTTGCAAACAACCAACCAAGCTCAGAGAGCACCAAGGATTCCACGGTTCAACCCTGAGCTACATATATTCTCTTCTATTGGTTCCTTAGTTGTATTTGAGATGCCAAAAGAGTGTTTAATACAAGACACTGTATAGTATTGCATTCCCAGGCATGGGTGTCAGGAAGTTAGTTGAGCCCAGTCTGTTGTTGCAGGTTTTTTTAGTTGCCATAGTATGTTACTGTCCTTGTTTTTAGGGTTTTTTAAAAAAAATTTACTGACTGTATGATTTTAAAATTAAATTGTATAATTTTAAAATTAAAATAAAAAAGAGTCACCCTTTGGGGGAGATGGGTGGCATACAAATTTAATAAATAAATAAATAGAATTTTGTTAGCCGCCAAGAGTTGCATTTGCGAGATGGGTGGCCATATAAATGATAAATAAGAAATAATAAGAATTACTGAGCAAAGCTGTACAAGATTGTGCCAGCATTAAAAGTGGGGAAACATTCTTGTTATTCTACTGCTTCTATGAACATTATCCTTTCTCCATTTAATCCTCTCCTCCATGTTACACAAGTGACAGTAGTTCTGGTACAGATCTGTCTACTATATTGTAACAGAGGTGTTGGAAGACCTGATTCTGTGTTCTGTTCGTTCAGTAGAGCAACAAAAAGTATTTATCATTGAAAAAAAGGGATATCTTAAGCTTTAATGTGTGTCTTTCCAAGGATACTTAGAGAAGATAGTCTAGCTATAATAACTTTAAAAATAATTAAAATATAATAACATTATAGTGCTCTAAAATTATTCCAACCCAGTGGGAAGATTTAACTAAGGACTTAGTTCTGGCTATACCAGGATCTTTTTCACCAAAATAGAGTGCAAGGATTAACAAGCATCTAGTTCATCTCCCTTCTGCTCAGTGTGCTTTCCCAGTAGTGATCTGAAGGCCAGAGCAGTCTCTTTGAGCTTCCAGCTTCTAATCAGATGTTGCCCAGGTGTAACCCACCTGTATTTTCCTATTGAACATACTTCCTGATATATGGTTCCTGGTGCCACCTAGAAAAATATATTGTGTAGTTACTGATCCTTTCCCACTGAACAGATTTGTTAAAATAAAAATGATTAAAGAAGTGGTAGAAAGTATACCATATCTATCGGCATATCACACACACTTTTTTCCCTAAAATTTGGGGCTGAAATCCTAGCTGCGTGTTATATGCCGATGTGTGTGTTATTCGTCGATGTATAAGCCCCTGTATA